ATATGTCTACAGAAAAAAAGATGATTTTGAGAGGATGGGGGAAGCAAACTAATGAGAGTAAACAGTAAAGCCGGACTTCCGGCAAGATGGAGGAATAGGTGGATGCACTCTACCTCCTCGCACAACCAAGATTAGAACAACAATAATTTACAGATAGAATAACACTCAGAACTGATAGAGGATTTATCTGAATGCAAGTCGGACAGCCAAGAAGTTGAAGTAGACCCAGACAGTACATCCAGACTGGTAGGAGACAACGAACCGGGTGGGTGCGGGGCGGGTGCGGGGCGGCACACGGAGGTCAGGGAAAATTTGGCGGAAATCGGCGCGACAGCCATCTGGGGCGCAAGAATGCAGCGGTGATCCCTGAGTACGCAAGCTGTGGCTGGCGGACCCAGTGAGGCAGCGATTGTGGACCAGGGCAAAGCTCGCAGCCCAGGATCCCAGAGAAGGGTCTGAGCCCAGGAGAACGGAACTACTGCCATTGTTCCCTCCCACCCCCGCCCCCGCCCCCACATATAACGTCACAATCTAGCGACTGGGGTGTTCAGCCCCAGTGAACACCTAAGGCTCCGCCCCCCACAGTAACAAGAGCGACCAAACTAAAAAAAAAAAAAAAAAAGGAGAGACAGGGAAAGACATAAGACAAAGACAGATCAGTCCCCCAGGACTCATCCTTTTGAGCGACCAAGAAATAGCCAATCTATCAGATGCACAGTTCAAAACACTGGTGATCAGAAAGCTCATGGAACTGGTTGATTTTGTGTGCAAATTAGATGAAAGGATGCAGGTTACCATAAAAGAGATGCATGAAGATAACACGGAGTAGAGCCAATAGTGAAAGGAAGGAATCTGAGTCTCAAAGCAGTAAAGCCAAGGTCGAGAGAGGGTAGGGGGAAGGAAAGAGAACAATGTAATAGAATTCCTCCCTCAACTGATTAGGGCAGGGAGAAGGCGAAATGGAGTAAGAGAGAGAGCATGCTATGGGATATGAAATACAAATAAGTAGTGAAGAAATGGGAGTTCCTTTGGAGATGAACAGCAATAGCTATGGTATTTCACCCAACTAGCCACTGTTTATAAAAGGTGAAAAAGAAACAAGACTGTTGTTAGAGGGGAAAAGAATATGAGCTGACTTTAGAAAGCAGAGCGCTTATGCGAGCTTAGATGGAAGAGAAAGAATCAAAGTAAGGCATGGAAACTTGGCGAAGTGTGAGAAAAAGTAAAGTTAACCACAGCAGTAATAAAGCTCAGGAAGATGGCGAAATGGATTAGGACCAGGGTAGGGTGCTATGTGGGCTTTGGAATAACAATAATGTAAAAAATATGTATAATCTGAATAAAAAGAATAAAAAGTAAAATACCAAGAGTAGTATGTTATTTGGAATACTAGTGAAGTAAAAGAAGAAAAATTAAAATGTAATCTGAAAGGGGGAATAAAAAACAATAAAAACAAAAAAAACTGAATAAATGGAAAGAAGAAAGAGAATTTCTATTAAAAAACATACACGTTCTGATGAGGAGCAAAGTGAAATTGGTCTCAGCTGTTGGTGTTCACCTTCTGACTTCTTTCTTCCTCTGTCTCTGGTTTTCTCTCAGCTCCAGGTCTTACTGTCTTAACTCTTGAGAAAAAGGAAAGATTTTTTAAAAACTTGCCTAGCAGGTTTTGCAGTTCTTCTAGGTTCCTTCTGGCAGAGGGGGCTGGGCTCTATTTTTCCCTTTCCTGTGGTTCCCCCAGGATGGGGGCTCAGTCTGGGCTACAGTAATCACAGGTGCCCAGCTTCCAGCCCAGGCCCAGAGCACTGTGCAGCCCGCAGTCTCCGCTCTGTCCATCTGCACCCTGCTGGCACCAATAAGTCGCCTCACTCTCCTGGGTGCCGCTGCCACACGAAGCCACTGCCTGGGTTTCCACACAGTCCAACCCTCTGGCAAGTCCAGAATCTACCTGGGTCACGGCCAGTCGTGGCCCTGCACTCCCAGTTCCAGGTGTCACCAGGATCCCCCAAATTCTCTACATCAGCCCGTGCACACCACCCGCTGTGTGTATGGTGCTGACTTTTTTTCCCCTCTAGCCTACTTTCCCCCTCCGTGTCTCTCCTAGCATGTGTCTGGGATTTCCCTGCCACTGGAGGGGAGGGAGCTGCTCTGCTGCTGTCACTGACCCGGCTCTCCTCCAAGGTACCTGCAGCAGCCTCAGTCTCCACTGCCAGGCTGGGGGACCTTCTAGTTAGCCTGTAAAACCTCCTTACTGCCAGTTTTTAAATGTCCTCTGCACACTTTGGCTTCCAGACTTCATATCAGCTGAGATTCTTTTGGCTGTTCACTTCGTTTTTCAGATCAGCTATGAGTCTGGTTGGGTGCACGAGCCAGTGGGCTCAGCTCCCACCTGCATCGCTGTCATCTTCCAGAAATGTACTTTTTATCATACATTTTTATGATCTGCACAAGTGCAGCCTATACTATTAATTCCTTATTCAATGAAGATATTTCTGCTTGAAACAAGTATAGACCCTAGAAATCTTAAGAGATGGATAATTAAACTCTTTCTTAAATTTATAAAAGTTTTTCTTAAACTTTTGACTGCTATATGTGTTTGATGAGTACTTGAAATGAAATACATTGTGACATCATTTAATGAAAAACACTTGAGTTTTAAATACTCAGTGGCACAAATTATCTGGCTTATAGTCCTCTCCAGAAGGAAAGCCCTTTATGTCTGGTTGTACAGGTCAACATATTTCTCAGGAAAAATTTTTGACTCCATTTTGGGTTTTGGACAGAAATCTAATTGAGTATTCAATTCAATATCAAAAATTGAGAGAGGCAAATTTATCCAGTAAACTGTTTTCCCCAAAATGGGCACTACAGAATGCCTGACTTAGTATAAAACCTATGAGTATATGTTTATAGGTTAAATTTAAGTTTTATAATACTGCCTGTTTAAAAGTGTTATTTATCCCCTGAAGGTTCCTAATACATCCTAGATACACACTTGCTCAGTGTCATCAAGAAAGTCAGATGGAGGACTCCCACACAGCACCTACAATTTACTTTAGATTCATCACCTACTGCTTTTCACACAGGGTAGTTCAGAACTCATGGTGACTCTCCCTTCCACTGAGTGTGTGTCTGTCACACTTTACTTCTCACCTTCAGCTGATGGGTGCCCAGGGAGTGAACACGTACTGTAACATCAGCCTACCTGCCCCAGATCAGTCACAGATACATCCTGACAATAAGTGCAGGCGACCTCATCCCCACTTCCTCCACATCCGTGTATCCACTCTCGATGTGTCTTTTAGAGTGGAGCATTAGAGTCTGTTGTTCTGGGCATTGAGGAAACTAATTGTTTATCCAAATACAAGTTCACCTTCATAAGAATTGGGAGGTTTTCTTAATACAAGGTCCTAAAAGATAAAAAGCACTCCAACTTGAGCTCTTGGTTCATGACCATGGCAGGTCCCAGACTGGGATGAGTTTAGAGACTGGACATTCAGCTTTCCTAGCTGTTTTTTAAGCTGTGTGCTCTTGTCACTGTGCTGAAATCAGTCAATGCTGACTTACCCTTCATAGCCCAGAACCCTCCAAAAGCCCCAGGAGTGATGCGGGATGCGTTCTCTGCTTTCTTTACATTCTGTGTGCTCCCAGATCCTGCTCTCAGGTTAAAGTCCAAATTTCCACTAGTTTTCAAGCTCCTGGGGGCACAGGCGTGTTTTACTTCTTTCTATATCCTGAGCACCTGATACATAACAAGTGCTCTGTTAATATTATTTGTATTTGTTGCACTGAGCTAAAGAACTTGGTTCTCAAGCTGTACATAACACCAGCACAGAGCAGGGATTCAGTAAAGGTTTGTTTTAGTTGCTAATCTGAGAATGTGAGTAATTTTGCCAGGTAGGATTTTACTACCTCCAGATCCGGGAGGAAGGAGGTTGAGGAATGTTTCACAAATTCAGTCCAGTTTCTTCATTAAACAAATATGGTGGCTTTCAAAGCAGGCTAAAAAGAACTACTTATGTGTTCCATTCTAGATTAATTTTGTTACCTTTTATGAACTTAGTAAAATACCCATGGTGAAACCTTGTGGCCAGGGCTTCTCCCCATGATCCTATGGGTCATGATGGAAGGGGCCTCCTGCCTGGATTCTCTCACAGCTTTTCTCAGGCTTTTCACTGGGTTTCCCTTCTTATTATGAGGCTTTTGCTGGTCCCTTTTCAGCCCCACTCTGGGAACACAGCACTTCACATTAACTGGAGACCCATTTAAAACCATGAACCTGGTAACGTGCCCTGTGCTGCTCTCATGTTCATCTTAGAGTTGATTGGCTAGAGAGCTTCTGTGAGACAACTGAATGTCATTTATAAGGCATTTTTTCCATATTTTAAAATACTCTATACTGAGTGTAGTGGGACTGATGCTGGGATTGGAGCAGCTTGTTCCTGTCCTTAGGTGGTGGGCTGAGAGTGGGTTTTGGCTGCCATCCCAAGATATAGCTGCCATATCCCACTGCGCAGATCTCTGATTCCTGCTCAGACGTGTGATCTTCATCAAGCTCTGTACCTTCTCTGAGCCTCCCTGACTTGGGGCCTGTTCACCCCTCATGCTTGCCTGGCCCCTGTTGCCCACTAGTGCTGCACTGGGCCTGGCGATGGACCGTGAATAAGGTGTCGCCCTGCCCAGAGATGGGGCATGAGTGTGACATCTCCCTGCCTACTTCACAGGCCTGCAGTGGGGCCACAGAGGAAGCCCTTGGTGGACTAACCAGCTATTCAAATGCAAGATGTTGGTGCTTCAGTTACTAGAGTTATTAGGTCCAGGGGACCAAAAAGTCATGTGTCTGTATGTAGTTTTCTTACTTAAAATGGGAAGACTAATGAGAATATAGCAGCCCACTCTCTCCTCACAAAGCCAAAGCTTGGTCACAATTGTCCCCTGCCCTAAATCATTTCTGGGCACTGGTGTTGGGCTGCATGTACTCAGTGGGCCCTGCTGTCTTGCAGATGTGTCACGCAGCCACCAGTGCCTTCTGCCGATCCATTAAGCTACAGTGTGAGCTCTACCCCTCTAGAGAAGTGGCCATCTGCTTGGACCCTTACTGTGGACTTGGGTTTGTTCTGTGGTGCCTCTGCAGGTGAGTTTCCCTTTAATACCTTTAATACCTTTAATGTAATAAATAAATCATACATGGTTTCTTGCGACTGATCCCTGTTCTGCCCCTGTTCAGCCAGGCTCTCAGGGTGGAGTGGGTTCCACATTCTGCGGTGTCTGACAGAATTAGTCTCCATAAAGTTTGCTGAAACACACAGAGATGGTGGCTGGGTTCTTTTGCTCTGAAATCCTAGCAGTTATCCCTGGCCTGGAATTCACATTCAATCAGTGAGTGTTGAAGGCGGTCTCCTCCTTCCAGCTTCTCCCTGATGCAGGTGGGGAGGAACTGCAGCTGAGGGAGGGAGGGAGCTGGCCTCCCCTCCAGGATCCAGTGCTCCTCAGCCATCAGTCCTCCCAGCCCCGCTTGTAACAGGCATTTATAGAGGGGGTGAACATGGAGATTGTTATTCTTCAGGTTGTACATATATGCTCATTGTAGAAACTTTAGAAAATACAGTATATAAAGAAGAAAACAAAACCATTAATAATTTACCACCTAATGATACAAAGAAATATTCACTATTAGCATTTGACATATAGCCTTTCAGTCTTTACTTTCTAGTATAGCGTAGTATTTATTATTATTAACATACCAAGGTCTGTGCACAAAAAGTCCAGCCATTGTTACTATAACAAGAACGCTTTGCATTACATCGATGTAACTCGCAGCCAAGAAGTGGACCGGAATTCTCATGCGTAAACAATGACAATTTCACTGTACTAGTCAGTGGGGGTGGTAGACCCCACTGAGTGAGCATATGCGCTGTGTGGCTGTCGCACTCAAAATGACTGAGCAAGTACAGCATCAGATTTTGTGTTAAGCTTGAGCATTCCTCTGTGGAAACTATTTGAATGATTCAGAAGACCATATCTGTGGACAACTGGGGATGGATACCTTCATCACGCCCCCATACCCACTCATGCTTCACATCTCATACAGAGTTTTTTGGTGAAACATCAAATCACCCAGGTGGCTCAGCCCCTCTAATAGCCCATATTCCACACCCCGTGACTTCTGGCTTTTCCCAAAACTAAAATCACCTTTGAAAGGGAGGAAATTTCAGACCATCAGTGAGATTCAGGAAAATACAATGGGGTAGCTGATGACAATTGGGAGAACTGTGTGAGGGCCCAGGTGCCTATTTGAAGGGGACTGAGTTGTCATTGTCCTATGTACAATGTGTCTTATATCTTGTGTCTTCTCAATAAAAGTCTCTACTTTTCCTATCACATGGCTGGATGCCTTCTGGGCAGATGGCGTATATAAGTGTGCACAAAGTTGCTCCAGTAAATACCAGCGCCCACCACGCAGCTTCACGTGGATCAGCATGTCACCACTTTCCTTTCATTCATCTGCCCATTTTTCCCGTCCCTTTTTATGTGGGACATGTTAAAGCAAACACCCCAACAACGCATGATTTCACCCATAAACCTTTAAGTTACATATACAACTTTGTAAATGTACATCAATATTTTTATAAAACTGAGATGTTACAGTATGAAATCAGTCATAATTTTCCTTTTTTCTTCATAGTCTATAGTAGACATTTTCTCATGTTTTTAAACATTCTTCTGAAACAATTATCTTAATGCCGTCATAATATTTAATAGTATTAGATTGGATTAAAATACAATTCCCGTATTTTTTAAAAACACTGACATTCTAGTTAGTAAAATAAAACGTTTTGAGAGAGCACATAGAATTGAACCCTAGAGTATATTTTAATGATTTGTGCTTCCATCTAAAATGCAACAGCATTGTGGGTAACTTTTTCTTGGGAAATAGTTCAGAATATACCATCCCAACAGTAGGGCCAAAGTGACCTTAGACGTATTTGGCCAACTGAGTAGGAAGCCTGTTCCAAACTACTGACCCTTTAGGACAGCTGTCTGTACTAAGGATGAGTTGAAGCGCCTGAGTAGAGTGCTTCCTGGTTTTGCAGGGTCGTCAAGCCTAAGCCGCACTCAGCAGCAGAGAAGGTGCTTTTGAAGGGAAAGTAAGTTTTTCATGTGCATCACACATAGCAGGAGAGGGATGGGTTGGGGTCTTCAAAGGAACTGTGCAGAGAGGGTTGCAACAAACCTTTACTTAATGAACGTCTTTCCTGAAGGTTCATTCAGAAGTCTCAAAATCAGTGTTCTTGATTTACCCTGCAACATTATAAATAAATGCCTAATAGCTGTGAAACACCTCTTTATTCTGAAATCCTTTGTAGAAACAGATCCCAATAGACTTGCTTTAAAAACTGGACCTGAGAGTAGCCACCCAGTAGCAGTGAGAATGCCCAGCATCGATAAATGTTGTAATTACCATTTTCCTCTCAAATGAGCCAGGGCTTCTTTGAGAAGAGGCTGACTTCAGGCTGGGAAGGGAAATGTATGAGATGACCCTGATGTCTGTGTGAGAAACAAGGAAGTGCTCACAGAATGAGGAAGGGCATGCCAAAGGGACCAAGGAGCCAGCTTCCAGGGACTCCCACAGGCCAAACTGGGGCAATCGGAGCATCCACATGAGTATTATAGTAGATTATAACACTTTGAATGAAATGGGAAATTATCCAACCATTCACATATAAGTAGATGACAATTTGAAAGCCCAGTGAGTAACAAGGATTTGCATGGTAGCCCTCCACTAACAGTTGTTAATTATAACGGAGAGGAGAGAACCTTCACAGTGGAGAAGCCTGAACCAAGAGACCAAAGTGAACCTCGTCAACAGTGAGACAAGGGGCCCTTGAGTGTCACTGGGAGGGTTGCAGTGAGGGACACTGTATCAAGGCTGCTTCACCTGAATCTAATCATGGGGATATCAGACACTCAAACTGAGGAGCACACAACAGCACAGCAGCCTGTCATCCTCATGAATGCCATTGTCATAGGGTCAGGGAAGCTCTGAAGGCTCCATCTGGACAGAGTCAACAGCTTAAATGCAGGATGAGACTCTGCACTGGACCCTTTGCTGTCGGATATCATGAGACAACTGGCAGAACTTGAATAAGGTCTGATGGAACTTGAACGGGGTTAATGGAAGAAATGTATCCATTAGTGTCCTGATTTTGATGCCTGGATTGGCTGGTGGAGGAAAATATACTTGTTTGTTGGAAATACCCCCAAACTCTAGGGCCTTAATCATTTGAGGTTGTTGGGACATAAGGTCAGTGACTCACCCTCAAATGATTCAAGAAAGAAAAAGTTATATGGCTTTTCTTGGAACTTTCCTTTAACTTTGTGATTGTTTCAGAGTTCTTTTTTTAATTGGGTACAAAGTTTTTTGTATATCTTTAAAGTTTCCTTCAGTCGTGAAGTAGGAGGTTATTTATCTGAAAATCTTTGACATGATAGAATTGTTTGAAAATATTTGGTAAGATCATACATGTCTTTAAAAGCATGTCAGGGAATTGATGTTCCCTGATAAGAAGATTCATTATTGTTAAAATGGAAATTCTCCCCAAATTGGTCTAAAGATTCAGTGGAACGCCTGTCAGAAATCTCAGCAGGATTTTGGGTGTTTGGTTTGATTGAGGGTTTTGTTGTTGTTGTTGTTGTTGTTATTTTATTTATTTACTTTTAGAGAAAGGGGAAAGGAGGGAGAAAGAGAGAGAAACATCGATGTGAGAGAGATTCGGTTGGCTCTTGTACACCCCCAAATGAGGACTTGACCCACAACCCAGACATGTGCCCTAGACTGGGAATTAAACCAGTGACCTTTTGGTTTTCAGGCTGGCACTCTTTTTTTTTTTTCAGTTGCTATAATTGCCAACATGATTCTAAAATACAAATAAAGGACCCACCATATCCAAACAAATTTCGGAGCAGAATAACAAAGTTGGAAAACTCAGACTTCCCAATTTCAACACTTACTACTGTAACCAAGACAATGTGGTACTAGCATAAAGATATAATGTAGATATAGAGGTAGATACTTAAAATAATCAGTTAAACATAATTGAAAGTCCAGAAAATGAACCCTTTTATGTGTGGTCGTTTGATTTTTCAACAAAAGGACCAAGGCAACTCAATGGGAAAAGGATAGTCTTTTCAACAGATGATGCCAGGCAAAATGAACATCCACCTGTAAAAAAGATTAAACTTCTACCTAACTTCATATACATTAATCAACTCAAAGTGGATCATATACTTAATATTAGAGCAAAAACTATGAAACATTTATTTAAAAAGCATAGAAGTAAATATAATGTTAAGTTAGGCAAAGGGTTCTTAGGTATGACATCAAAGGTACAATACATAAAGGAAATACTGATAAATTCGACTCCAACGAAGTTTAAACTTTTATACATTAAAAGGCACCATTAAGAAAGTGAAAGGCAAACCACAGACCAGGAAACAATATTTGCAAATCATCTATCTGATAGTCTTTCTAACCAGATATAAAACAAACTCTAAAACTCATAGACAAGTGAAATAATTTAAAAATGGGCAACAGATTTGAACAGACATTTCACCAAAATGCACATATGACGAATAAGCACATGATAATACGCCTAACATTCATTACAGAAATGCAAATTAAAACCAGTGAGCTACCACATCATACTATTAGAACAGCTATAACCTAAGAGGCAGAAAATTAAGTGGGAGACTTGTACTTCCTGATTTCAAAACTATAATATGCCATTAAGCAAAGGTAACCAAAGATACACAGAAACAGGATTCTCATACATCATTGATAGGAATGTAAAGTGATGAAACCACAGTTCACATGTTCTTAAAAATGAAACATAAATGTACCATATGACCCAGCAATTCCATTCCTAGCCATCTACCAAAGAGAAAGGAAAACATGTCCACACAAAGACTTGATGCTTGAAGTATTCTCAGCAGCCTTTGTTTAAAGGGAGAAAAAAAAGGAAATAATCCAAATGTCCACTGACTGGTGAGTGTGTAAACAGTATTTGTCACATCCATACAATGGAATTCAGCTGCCATGTGGATAAACTTCACAAACACTGTGCTGAGTGAAAGAAGCCAGATCCCAAGGCCACACATCATATAACTGCATCACGGTGCCAGTTCAGAGTATGAAAAGTTCAGAGAAGGCAAACCTGGAGACAGAAAGGAGAATGATGATGACTGTGGCAAGGGTGGGCAACAGGGTTGACTACCAATGGACACAAGCCTACCCTTAGGGTGACGGAATGTTCTAGAACTGCATTGTGGTGATGATTATGCAACTCTGCAGTTTACTAACATTTATTTAGGTCTGTGCTTAAAACGGGTAGATTTCATGCTGTGCAGGCCAGTATTGGGTTGACCGACGTGCACACTGCAGGCACGAGCCTGTCGGGGAAGGAGGCTCACCCGTGCGACACAGGGTGGTATGTGTCCAAGTGGGCCAAGCGGCTGCCTTGCTCGCAGCTGCCACGTTGTGATAGTTTTTGATTGTGTGTTTTGTCAGGTTAATAATCTGAAATTACTCAAATACAAATGTGCAAATTTATATTAGTTACCAATATATCTTTTGTTCTTGCCTGGTCATTCATATTTTTATTTTTATTTTCTTAAATGGACTTTATTTTTCAGAGCAGTTTTAGGTAGGTTTACAGCAAAATTGAGTGTAAGGTACAAAGACATTTTCTGTATCCCCTGGGCCCATGTCACACAGCCTCCTCCACTATCAGCATCTCCCACCAGATGGTACGTGTTCTGTGGTCTAGGAATCTATGTTGACATGTCATCACTACCCAGAGCTCAAAATTTGTTTTAGGGCTCACTCTTGGTGCTGTAGAGAGCCAGAAATAGACCCACCTAAATATTGCCAACCAGTCTTTAACACAGGAGCAAGGCAATACAGTAGAACAAGGAGTTCTACTCCTTCATCAAATGGTGCTGGAGCAACTGGACATTTGCATGCAAAAAAAAAAAAAAAGAATCTAGAACTCACAGCCTTCACAAAAATGAGCTCAAAATGGATCAGAGGCCTAAATTCGAAAGGTAAAACTATAAAACTCCTAAAAAATAACACAGGAGAAAACCTAGATGACCTGGAGTTTGGTGATGACTTTTTAGATATGACACCAAATATGCAGTCTATGAAAGAAAGAATTGATAGGCTGGGTTTTATTAAAATTAATAGTTTCTGCTCTGCAAAAAAAACACTGTCAAGAGAATGAAAATGCAGGCCACAGACAGGGAGAAATATTCCCAAAATATCTTTAATCATTTTGTTTTTGTAGTTAAAATCTACACTGAAATAGTTCAGGTTCCAGAAATTCTCAAAAAATAATCATAGTTCATTACCAGCAACCTGCTTTTAAGTAGGTTTGTTCTTTCCATGCAGGTATTCAGAGCCAGTGCCAACAAATCAGTATCAGTTAGTACATGGAACAGTCAACACTTGTTGGACTGAGCAAGGAAAGAGCAAGTAGAAAACTCACGAATCAGGTTTTCTGCTTGTCCTGTGTTATCAGGATTTATTGACTTTTTCTTGATGTTGACTTCTGTCCTATTGATTTTCAGAGTTATGCTTAAAATTCCCTAGCCCTGAATTCCATAATGTGCTAACCACCCTTTCATGTGCTGATGCTTCTGATCAAATCACTCCTCCTGATATGTATTCTTGGGAAAGGTAGTAGGTGATTTGCATTTAATCTTCTTCATTTTGGATCTCCTTTCATATTATAGCATTTATGAAGTAAGATGTTGGGAATAATATAGACATGCTAGATTGTTATAGTAAGAGGAATACCATCATAAGGCATCTCCTACATCTTAATTCCCTAAGACTTGAGGCTCAAGGGCCATCAAACACGTTTGGTACCAGCACTGAAGTGTGAAAGTCCTTGGTGTGAAGGAGCAGCTGTGCAGATCTGAGCCACCATAAAAATCATACAGGGTAATCTGACGTGGTTGTGTTAGCCCTGCTTCACAAGTGGGTTGAATGACATTTGGCGTTAACAAAACACTGTCCCATCACCTTTCACAGAGGTAAGACTCACGCTTCCTAGGGAGTAATAATGACTTCTTCGACGTGTGATGTGCAGGCTTGTTAGATCTTAGGCCTGCACATTAGATCTTTGACCTAGTACACGATCCCACTTTGAGCCTGAGATTTTCTTTTAATATCCGCTCAGCAGAGATAAATTTTCTGTTTTTATCTATGGACACTTACCAGAAATAAAACCTTATGATGATATTCCTCTTAATATAACAACCTAGCATTTCCATTTTGTTCCTGCTTCATGCTGCCTTGAGGCTTCTGATTGGAGTTGACACATTAGCTACTAAGAATGGCTCTAATTCAGTCACACCAGATGTAGTGTGCAGGCTGATTCTGCGTCACTGTGTGGCAAGCGACAGAGTAGGTCTGAAAGACAGCCCACCCACTGTAGCAAAACAAAATAACAGCTTCCAACAGAATCAGTCATAGGAATTCCCTTCAGCTTGCTGTCAGCATCCTCAGAGGCTGCCCACCTTGGGGAACAGGGTTGTAGCACGAGCGCGGAGAGCGCTGTGTCCCTTGCCTCTTCCAGCCCCTGGAAGAAAGACTGCAGGTCTCCATAGATGGCCTGGGGCCTCTGTGGGCATGAGGGGGCAGCATCTTTTGTCCCCTGGGTATGTTGCTGGTGCTAAGGAGTTGTTTGGCTTTGCTTTCAGATGCCACGTGTAAGATTCTTGGGAGGTTATTTTAAGAATATGGAATGCCTCAAAAGTAATAAAAAATATGCTGGCTTGTATCAGTATTTTGTTATGTAAATATATTTGTTGTAATGTTCCTTGACCTCTTGAATACCTTTAATATAAAGTGATTTTGAATGACCTAAATTAATTTCCCAAAGACAAATCTCAGATAATTAAACCATTTGAAAAGATCACAGAAAAGGTCAGAGACTGCTGTCTTTCCTTTTGACAAAAATAAATGAAACTGAAATAGAGGAATAAAGAAAAAAAAGAGAGACCTTTCCCCCACATGCTCTAAAGAATAGTTTTTCTGTTGAGGGCCCTGTTTAAAGTAGATTTTTTGAGCCAACTTAATTTCCTTACATTTCTTAACCAATTGGAGTCTGTTGTAAACAATTTTGAAAATTTTAATGTGCGATTGGCTTCATTCCAGAACTGGTTTTAGTGACATGGCATAGCAGTTGAGGCTCACTGCGCTTTTCACCTGCCAGATTGTTCGTACCTAGAAAATCCCTTTTTCTTAAATGTTAGAAAATTATTTACAAGGATATTTTATTATAATGTGTGACATCTATTAATGTTGATTTATCATCAACAACCATTAAAAATACAGTTTTGACAAATACTTCATTATTTTAAAACCACACTTGCCCCACCAATTGATGACCGATCAAAATATGTACCTAGCATTTCCCTCATTTCTCTGAATATGTTCTCTAATGCAAATATATTTTCCTTATTTCTCCTGTTTGGTGATTTGTTTGGATTATTCCGAAGCAAAATTTCAAAACTTAATAATTGAGTGACAAACTTCATCTAATTGTGTTTGTTTTATTTCATTTGCCCTGGGTGCTGGTTTTCTAAACCAGAGGTAGGCATGCTTTTTCTCCAAGGGCCCTTTAGTAAATATCTTGGGCTCTGTGGTCTCTGTTGCACCCACTCAGCCCTGCCTATTGGTGCAAAGCCACTGTGGACTGTGTTTAAACCAGCAAGTGGCCGAGTCTCAATGAACTTCATTTATAAAAACAGGCAGCATCTGTGCGTTGCTAACTCCCGTTCTAGCACATGTTTTACCAAACGTCAGTTCTGTGTTTCCTGCTGTGAAAGAGAACCCAGGTGGTTGTTGTTTTGTACCAGCTTTGAGAGAAACCTCACAGCATCACAGCTTAGGTGTTTCAAGTGAGTATTCAACTTGGTGATAACTCTCGATCATAATTTCTATAGTTCTGTCCTATTTTTCACAGTGTCTTCATGAACACACCTTCATTTTTTTGCTTAAAGATATCTAAGAGGAGAGTGGCTGTGACTGTCCCTCTCTTGAACATGGGCCACAGGCCTTTCTCAGGCACAGGTTGGATGCTCTTCTGTACCCTCACTGACCTCTCCATTTCTCTCTGCAGCGTGTACTCTGGGCACCAGTCCATTCTCATTCCACCTTCTGAGCTGGAAACCAACCCTGCCTTGTGGCTTCTGGCCGTCAGTCAGTACAAAGTCCGGGATACGTTTTGCTCCTATTCGGTGATGGAACTTTGTACCAAGGGGCTAGGCTCCCAGACAGAATCCCTCAAGGTAAGCAACCCTCACCCCTCATGGTGCCTGCAGAACATTCCCAGTGTCCTGGGAAAGCAGTGTCCAAGGGCATGAAAAGGGTTTGGTGAAGTTAAAATAATAACCCTTCACAAATGTCAGGGGTGACAAACCTGTTTTCATGTGAAAACCTCATTTTATAACATGAATATTTTGTCACTGCCCCAACCAAAAAGTACAGGTCACGTTATTGATGTCTTAAATTCCATTAGGTCTACTTGAAGGGTCCTAAATTGCTTTTTAATTAGTTGGTGAATTCAGTTCTTTAGTACAGTTCATGTTATTCTGACACTGGTATTCAAGTCATAGGTTTGGATTTAGCTCCCATTTTTTGTTTACCTTGAACCCCCTGATTTGTAGGTCATGAGTGATCCTAACCAACATTCATTTTTACAGTTAAGTGAACAGTGGTGTTTATGACAATAATAGCATTTCCTCTCATGTAAACCAAGGACAATTGATATACATATTTTCATGGTACATTAAGCAGTCTTTATCCAAGAAACAAGGAGGAAATAATCATACCACCTGTTTTAATTTCTACCTATTTACTGTTTCTGTGCCCAGATATGTGGGTTGCTAGGTACATATCCAGTGACCACTAAGCATGTGTGTGTGCATGCTTGCATGCGTGTGTGTACATACACACAGTAAAGCACTTGCCTGCCCTGAACATTTTTTACAAACTTAATGGATTAGAATTGAGCAGGAAAATGAAATGCAAGATAAATTAGAAATTAAGTTGCATAAATAAATGTATAATTACTTGAAGTTATATATTTATGCAGGAAAAGAAGTTTATAAAACATAATTATTGCTCATGTTCACCTATATTACATTATGAAATGAATGAGTACATTTCATCAAATTTCCCTGTAGGGGCATAAATAACCAAAGTGAAATAATATTATAATTAAGTGATTTCTAAGCGCTTTACATTTTGATTCATTTCACCTTCATAACAGCTCTCTAAAATAGAAACAATTACTGTCTTCATTTTAAAAATGAAGAAATGTAAGTTACAGGGAAATTAAGCACCCTTTCCAGGTTCTTACATTTAATGAATTTTGGGGCTACATTTTGAATCTTTGGCTCCAGGTCCACCATCTCAAACCCCAGGCTGCAATGTCTCCCAGAACATTCATGTGTGTATCATTTGTTTTGCCCAGGGTTTAATGTTCCCTGTGTGACTCTGTGTATATAAAACCATGTTTATAGACTAAATTTCAGTGTCACATTATCTTGTGTGTTGCCCCCCTTGGTTCAGGAGCCTGGTCAGCTCTCCCTGTGCCAAGACCACCTTGCAGGTGCTTAAGGGACTGAAGGGCTTTGCCTGTGGCAATTGTCCTCCTTGAGACACCACCACTCAAGCTCAACTCACATTCAGACGCAGCCCCTACCTCTTAGTAGGCCCCAGTTCTTACTGCGGAGAGTGTGTGAACTCACTTGGTTGCTCCTCCTGAGTTTTGTGCTTTTGCTCCATTGACTGAATTTGGCACAGACAGAGGTGTGTGGACCTTAGAAATAGAAATGCCTTTATTCATGAACATTTATCTCTGACCTGTGAAGTCTCATGGAACATCAAAGGCAAGCTGCTTTTTAAAAGTTGTCCTAACATTTGAGTTTTCCATTACCACATTAAATACAGGTTTTCCTATTTCTCTCTAGTTCTGGTGCATCCATGTCCGTAGTAGTCTTTACAAATGCTTCCCTTCTTCCCCAACCCCGAACTTTGTTTCGTCCAGGGCCTAGCTCTTCTCCTCAACCTTTCTACTCCTCATTCTTGCTGTCACTTCTTGCCATTATTTAAAATATCTTTGTAATAGCATCTCTAATCACGTTATCTGGCTGATTGATTATATATTTTTTAAAGATTTTATTTATTTTTTAGAGAGAGAAAGGAGGGAGAAAGAGAGAGAGAGAAAAACATCAATGTGGGGTTGCTGGGGGTCATGGCCTACAACCCAGGCATGTGCCCTGACTGGGAATCGAACCTGCAACACTTTGGTTCGCAGCCCATCCTCAATCCACTGAGCTATGCCAGCCAGGGCTGATTGTATTTTTTACACAGACATTCGAGACTGTTTCAGTTAATGGCATGGAGCCATTGGACCCTGGAAATGAAAATCTGTGTGGAGTTTCTGGTTGTGGGTGGCTCTGGTTAAAGAGGTCACACAACTGAGCACTTGGAAGGCTGATCTCTTACTGCTGTTGTTGTTTCTAGGCACGAGGACTGGACTTGTCCCGTGTGAGGACCTGTGTGGTGGTGGCAGAAGAACGACCTAGAATAGCACTCACCCAGTCCTTCTCAAAACTCTTCAAAGACCTGGGCCTCCATCCACGGGCTGTTAGCACCTCATTTGGCTGTAGAGTGAACCTGGCCATTTGCTTGCAGGTGAGTTTTGCTGTCTGTCAACAGTGCTGGGGTGACAGTCACTATTAATGACAGGTGTGCACCGCACACTCAAGTTCAGCCTACTTTCCTTGGCTGATGCGTAGCTACATTTGGAAGATAATCTTTTAATTAAATGCATGTGATTGGTACACATGTCTTCCTTCCATCCTTCCTTTTTTGTCTACATTTCTCAGTAACCAGTATTCATAAATAGCATTGGTAGCACTTACTCTATTGGAACATTTTAACTTTTGGAATATGTGTTGCAGTTGTCCCGCCCTCAGAAGTTGGGCTTTTTAAAATTAGACACTAGACATGTGTTTCATCGTGGCAAAAAAAAAAATCCTGTCTCTTGAAGGACTTAGTGTTGTGTATGTAGATAGTAATTTCTGTAGGAAGAATTTTAAACATGAAGCAGGGTTGGCAGTTTAGGAACAACTGTTATAGCTGCATTTCTGTGGCATAGGTGTGAGGCCATACTGCTATGATAGTCTTGCCTTAACCATGGCTAAAAAAAAAGTATTCTCTTTGTTTCTCTTCAGTGGCCCACTTCCAAGTATCTTCACTATTCCTTTCCCTTCCTGGACTCCTAACATGAGGCCCAGGCCATGGCCATCGTTGTGCCAGGCCAGGGCAGCCTGAAACAAAGGAGAGGAGAACCGTGTAGGAGTGTTTCCCCACGGACCCTTCCCAGAACTTCACCCAGGACAAGCTCAGCTGTAGAGTTTGCTCCTCGAATTTGTTAAAACAGTAAAAATTGACTCACAGCAGGTGCTAGAAGAAAGACCAGTTAACACAAGTTACCCCCAAACTCTGCTCCCTGCCCACCCTGACTCTCCATTCAAGCTCCCAAAGATGGTTGCATACAACGAGTTCTTGTCCTCATTGGACATCGTCTCATCATTAGTGAGATGGACTATAAATATATAGAGATAATTTTTTTTGAATAAGTGGGTAAAATATCTTTAGCAAAAATAAACAGAGTGAGAGGGTAAAGAATGGCTTGGACACACGGGAGGCAATTTCAGAAAGGGTGGCCACGGAGGACTCTCTAGGAGGTGACTTTTAACCCAGTGCCCTGAAGCAAACAAGGTGCACAGTTTGGGCAAGTGCAGAGCCTTGAGGTTGGTAAGTGAAATGTTTGCTTCTATTCATTTTTGCAAAAATTTAAAAATCTGTGATGATGGTACCACACAAACAGTGAGCATAGCCCAGGTCTGATGGCAGAAATCCCACATCTCCTGCTTACGTGGGGCCTACTAACAACAGCCAACATTTTATCTACCCAGAAATAATCATCATTAATCCCTTGATGTACAAAAAAAAATAAGCAGGAAACACTAAAATATTCCAAATCCTGTGCCTAAATACTAAAAGGCACTGAGAAATGTATGCAGTTTTTGCTGTGGAGCACTGCAGATACTGACGTATGTGACATCAGTGAGTGGGCAGCTCTGTTGTTTCTGACAACAGGTCTCTCGGTCAGGTTGTTTGTCATCCTTGTTCAACGGGGCTGCAGTTTGGCTCTGAGGATTGCGGTGGAGGCAGCCCTATCAGAAGGGAAGTGTCTCTGTCCACACAAGAAGTGGATCTGTGCCCGTGATGTAGGGTTTCCTGGCCGTGGTCTCAGGGACAATGTTTTGTGGAATCCGTGGGTGTACCCCTGTCTAAAGGGTTCCCTGCTGTCTGGGAACAGCTGAGTGAAACAACTGACATGATTTACTGCCTAAGAATGAAACACATCTGATGTATGAGAATTTAGTTATACAGAGATAAATAAGGGATTTGGGGGTTTGGGGTTTTTTTGTAAGAATAGTCTTCATTTATGGCACCATGGACTTTTCATGGTCCAGCCTCAAGCTTTTCTCACCCCCCTCTACAATCTGGTATGAAATGACATTGTCTACCTTTGAGTCTTTCATGTTTTCAATTCCGAGCACCCTGACTCCCTCTGTTCTGGGTCTGAAATGGGCTGACACCATCTTCACGTGGCGAGAATGGCTTCTTATTCCAGGTCTGATTTCTGATCCCTCCAGTGGGAAGTGTTTCCTTCTTTTGACTTCCACTGGCCCTTTGTCCCTCCCACTTTATACTTTCTAGCACGTTTGATAAATACTTATATAACAGACTTCCATCCCCTCTGGTCTGTGAAAAACTGTCAGAGAACTCAGTATCTCCCACAGTCGCACAGTCACTTGTTAAAGTGAACTCATTTCATGGATGTACTAAAAGCAGTTCCTGTATGTGCAGACATGACTCATGAAGAGAAATAAGGCATATTTGTCTGACTAGAGTCAAGCCTACTGTGTGAAGTAAGTACATGGCAGCACGGAATTTTCCCCAGAATGAAGCACAGTGTGAATCTCCAGCTAATGAAAGCCCACGGCATCATTTTGTAACTGAACTAGTGGGATCCCACTGACTGCTGCACACAGGCAATAACTCTGAAGACAGAGCCCACTAGAAAGGGAAAGGGAATTTTTATTTACTTATAGATATACACAATTTCTTGATGCCCACACCCACTGCCAACACCACCAGAGGAGTAAGCAGGGTGTTGGTGGCTGGCCACCAGAGCTTCACATGCAGGGAAAAGGTGTGGGGGTTTTTGTCCAGCCACATTGCTTCCCAGGACCTGCCTGCCCAAATCTCCTCTTCCCCCACCCTGCAACCCCCTTTTTACTGGGCTTGCTCTGAGCCCCTGCAGTGCTCCTGGTCAGGCCCAAAGCACTCAGGGAGGGGAGTGGAGAATGACCCTCCCCAGCTGCACTGGGGCATAGCCGACTGGCCCACACTGGCATGAGCCATGGGCAGGCAGTGGCCACTTTGGCTTCCTGTCTTGGAAGGGGCACTGGGCTTGCTGGCGTGAGCCAGAGGCATGGTCCACTGGTAGGAGGCAGCTGCCGCAGCTCCTTGCTAGGGGAGGGGTGCGGAATTTGCTGACCCTAACCTCCCTGAGTCTGCTGGCCTGAGCCTCCCCAAGCCTACTGGCCTGAGTCTCAGCCCCTCCCCTTTTACCAGAGCTTGTTGCACTCTAAGCCTTCCCTGGAGCACTCAGAGAAGGGGCTCTGAGAAATGCTCCCAGGCAACCCAGTCTCCAGGGCCCCGTCAGCAGGGAAGGAGGGTAGAGAATCTAAGAGGGCAGCATTCCCACCCACTCTCCTTTAAAAGTCTCCCCCAGAATACCCCAGGCAGTGGAAGCAGTTGGGACAGTATATCCTGCCCATCCAATCACCTTCCCAGGGTTTGGTGCCAGCTTACACGCCTCTTTTTTTTCCCTCTGTCATACATGTATCATTCTGGTTGCTGGGATGATGGACCCATGCTCTATCCTTGGCACTTCTCCACCCCTACCCATTCCTAGGGACAGGGAGGGTTTTCCCCACTACAATTACCCCCTTTAACACTCTGGACACTTTTAATCTTACAAAGGCAGGTGGACAAAGGTCTCGTTCTTTTGTGACTACTTCCTGTTGACCAAGGAATGTAGTCCTACCTATCCCCTGGTCCAGAGTTCCCTAACAAAGGGGGGTCTGGATGGAGGGGAGCCTCCATGTAAGGCAGAAGGATCTCGCAAAGTCCAGGTCAGTTGGTTGTCCCTGAAAAGCAGCATGTGTGATGTCCAAAGGATGGCATCACTGGACAAGTTGGCATCCTGTCATGTTCTGGAGGTGGCAAATTTGGCAAGAGTGTTAAAGGCACAATCAAACCCATAACAACTAAATGGCAAAGGTAGGGACTAATTCTACAGTGTCCCTGGTTAAGAAAAAAAAATGGCTTCCTTGGAAGTAGGTGTACAAGGCATGTCATGCTGGTATGAAGCCTTTCTGCCTATTGTATTCAGCTTAAATTAGCCTTAGGGGAATATCCTGAGATTCCTCCCTTTAACACTTCTACGCCCTTTCTTCTGTCCAAACTATTAAGGCTGAAAAGAAAGCAGTTTTGAAGCAAAGCTGACAGGCTGCTCCATACCTTACCAACTCAAACGTTTAGTCCAGCTAAACCATTGAGTCCCAGGAGGTGGTGATGCAGGTGGGCTTCTCAAGTAGGGCCTATACCATTTCTGAGTCCACAAGACTGTCTTTGAGAAGATGGTCAGTTGCAAAGCCTTTGCTGGAATGATACTAAGCAGCAACAATTTGATATGGTCAGGTTAAACCAGTTCAATTCTCAAGTGAAAACAAACTTTGAAGGTAGCTAGTTGCACTGGAGTAGGGGTGTCAAACTCATTTTCACCAGGGGCCACATCAGCCTCACAGTTGCTTTCAAAGGGCCGAAGTAATTTTAGGAGTGTAAGTGTAACTTCTCCTTAACTGTTAAGGAGTTGAAATTACATTCAGCCCTGTGAAGGCAATATTGAGGCTGATGTGGCCCCTGGTGAAAATGAGTTTGATGCCCCTGCACTAGAGTCTGATGATCACAACTGATCATTTTGATTTCCCTTAAAACCTGATTTCTCTCCCTGAGATCACCCTCATTACCTCAAAAAGACTGCTAGTTTTCAATTTTGCCTCACTGTTTGCATAAAAACAACAAAAGCAGCACTGAACACATAGGTTTTTTAGGTCTGCTTTGCTGGCCCTTCCACAAGGAACCTTCAGATTGACCCTTAGCCCTTCATAAAAGCCACACCCCACAACTGCCATACAGCTTTGCCTGCAGTACTTGTATTCTTCAAGGCCTTGAGGTTCCCATAATGTCTTATGGTTCCTCCTTGCCATCTCTCAGGAGAGGATACTTCGTTCCTTCCCCAGAAAGGCTGCTATGTACCATACAACCAAGCAAGATACCAGGACATTTCTCCAGTGGACTTCTGTTAGCTTCCAAAGTCAATCTTAGTTCCTCACAGCTTTCTGGTAACACCCCAGAGCCCATGCATTCCTCCTTTGGGCATGACATTCTAGTCAAAGTTTTGGTTATTAAAACCATAGTTTGACATCAGTCTTACTGGTTTTCATGCAAAGGAAATTTTATATCATTACTTATTAAGAATGCCAGAT